AAATCTTAATGCCGACAGCATCAGATATTTTCACAACTAAATTATCGGAATCTTCATTTCGTTGTTCAGGCACTCCATGTATCTCGATATTGTTTCTTCTTGTGTACTGCTGTAATTCCTGTAACTCATTTTTTTTTGTAGCGCTTAGTGAAGCTTGTGTAACTTGGAGTTGATTACTCAGTAACTCATTCTTCGTTTCAAGATCTTCCATACGATGTTTATAATCCTCAAAATAATTACCGATAAATTCTACCGACGTTTGCAGCTCTACTATTTTTTTCTCAAGGGAGAATATGTTATCGATTTTCTTTTTGTCGCACCTTGTTTTCACGCCCAATTTGATTAGCTAATATTTTACAGATTATGAGATTTGTTCCTTTTGTTTTATCCTGGAACATTGTATTTTGTCCCATGTTTACAGGGTTTTAGCAACGAGTTTACTAGGTCACTCGATATGTATGCGAGGTTTGGATGATTGCGTATTTTATTTCATATTTCATAATCACATAGATGTACCCAACGCGTAATTACGATAAACCGCGGGATTGCAAGTTGTTGAGACTTTGTACTGCACACGCACCTTTGGAAGCCACGAGACTGCCATTGGTAGAAACATCCTTACCCGGGCGTTCAAGAAACATCTCAATTTCTGCCTGAATTAACGATCAAATCAATGCCAGACTGTTTTGCAGGAAGCGCCGAACACCAGAGATACTTCAATTAGCCTAATTGAACAGCAAAAGCACACCCGGAGGTGAGAGTCGTCGATGAACTTTCTACCGCCTTCCATGGAAGTCGTCGCCCAGCTTCAAGTTTCACCGACATTTGCCGAGACAAACTGCTAACCATCGTGTTGCCGTGACAACAGCACCAAGTGTATTCCTGGAACTGTGGCTTATCGTTGACCAAAGAACGTAGAAGATATGCTGGAGGTTTGTACAAACTAACTATAAATACAATCGTGTGTTCCCGCTCCATGTAGTTTGAACTCAACGATAACTGTAACAATCGCAACCGACGAGCATGGGTTATTTATATCGAATCATATGATTTTCCCTTGTGTTAGTCAATCACATTGGATGAGTGTAGCATGAGTGATTTGCTATGTATTCATTGATGACCGCTTTATATCAAGAATATTAAACTAAACAACAATATTATAAATAAGGTTATTATGAAAACATAGCAATGTATACACTCAAACAGTACGTTGTCGAATTGACATCTGATACCCAACCCGACCCACCCTACGTGTAAACCACGACCCTATGATATAATAAATGTATTAACGTAACTTTAGGTCAAATTACAGTCTGTAAATAATTGTCTCAACATTGACAATATAATGATGGTATTGGTTGGTTTAATTAATTAGCAGTCATATTTTATTCCACATACACAATACAAATATCATATTTTTCTGAATAGTGTCAGTGAGTCATACTTCATTTTAACAATATGGCACACGATAAATGAGGTTTAATAATAACTATGGCACCAGTCACCATCGGAATTAGAAATTAAAATGGAGACATGTCTGTCCACCAGTTCCCATAACCAGGTATGTCAAGTTCATTCTTCATTCATATAATTTTGTTACTATAATGTCTTGGAACATCAAATTGGTTATTTTCGTCGCTTTCAGAATTCACGTTTGGGTTAGTATGATCATTGTGCGAAACAGGCACATCGTCAGAGGTTGCGCCATTGGTTTGGTCCGTGTCCTTAATATCGTCGACATCGTGCATGGCTCGAGCAACGTCGTATTGGGGAGACATCAGGCATTTGTCTATTTCATCACTTCCCGCATTCGCGTCGATTTCAATGTGGTCATATACTGGTGACATTGGAATATCATCGCTATCTTCGTCGGTATTTTCATTCTGGCCGATTTTATCGTAGCTGCTATCGCTTACGATCTGATTTCCAGGTAAATGTGACATCTTTTTCAAGCGATCGAGTTTGTCGTAATCTTCAGGCATGTCTTCCTCACGAGTTCCTAGGTGAGCGTAATCAGTTTGTGCGCCCTCTTTTTTGTACAACCTACCCGTCCTATCAACGGTGTTATACATGTTACCTTTGTCGTTAATTTTTGAATATCCACCGTCAGAAGGTTTTCGGTCGCTGATAACTGCGTACGACGGTAGAGGGCGGTGATTTTTACCAGTCCTCCCCGTCTCCAGCAAACCTCGTTTTGACTGACCTTGGCGTGTTGTCCTGACTACCTCCCATAGCCATGTAACCTTCCGGTTACCCAGAAACGGAGTTGCCCACTAATGAAACATCACTAGTTGAAATGGTATTCTGTCTCGAGCTGGGGATATCGTAACGAGGCTCATCTGTACCACCGGTGTCACGTGCTTCCCAAGCCGAGGGTAAAGTACTATCAATAGTTTCTGGCAATGAATCTGTTGACCCCACATTTCTGTCCTTGATCGAACGTGGCATCTGGTATCGTTGTTTCATTTCTGTATAAGGGTTGTCTGTTTCATCTATGTCCTCGTTCCCGGGATTAGATTTCACATTTCTGCTCGGTTGTGCGTATATTTTACATTTCAAGTTGTTTTTCTCGCCGCCATTGTCAGTCAGTTCATAGGTCGGATTTGAGTGACTGAAATTCACTTCGGAGTAACTGTTTTCTAGATCAACATCTTGATAAACTGGACCTGTATAAGAAATAAATACTTTTTCTATATGCACCCTCAAAATCAATAACATGGAATGAACCTATGTATATAACATTTAAACAGTCAGGACTAACCTTCGAATAAAGAATACAAGTGTATCTAGAGCAAAATAAATATATCCTAGTCGGAACACTTTTGTTGGTTTTTTAGGAGAGGAGTATAAGAAAGTATAAGTAACTGTTTAAATATGCATCTTGTTGTAATAAAGAGTGCCAACACGATCTAAAGCAAAATATCGCAATTGGAAAATATATCTCGTTTCACGGATAGATAGATATATATATATATACGTGTTCGCGGTAAATGGAAACACATACATATTGCATTAACTTTAACGTATATCTTCACTTACTTACACAATAAGTCGACGTTTTTCAGTAATCCTGATCTGGCCTTTGCACCTGGAGTCTTGCTCTGCCGTCACTACATGTGATACCACTGTATGAGCACAGCGAAAGAACGCTTGGTATACTTTACTTTTTTCTTGTATATGCCGCGGTTCTCTCATCTCTAGTCCACCCGCTGCTTCGGCCACGTGCCTGTGAAAACAAATACACACTTATAGACTTGTCGGTTTCCCAGTTCGGCGTCGATAGATAAAAACGGTGCAAACAATACTTCCACCTATGAGGGCGACAATCACTATGGCGAGGATAATGAACCCAGCCAAAACTCCGGCGCTTCCAGTTTCTGAGATCAAAGGCGATTTGGTAGCAAGTATGGAGTAGTTTGCTGGATTCATGGAAAGCGATGCATCTACACTTGATATTAATTCTACGTTGATTGACTGGGTACCACTTATTGTAGAGGTTGTGGGTATCGCTGAAAAAAGGAAACACACCATAACTTCCTTCCTTAACATAAGATATAGATTATCACAGTCTTATCGGCACTGGCCCTTAGAAGATCTTACACAAGCCATGCAAAGTTATTGTTTTCTTCAATTAGTTTTGACCTGGATTTTTCCAGGATAATTATGTTGCTGTGAAGTGATTTCTTTCCTTTGTCAATTTATTTCAGATAATCGTAAGCTAATATCAAGACGAGAAGAACTTTAACCACAACAGTTTGCAAACAGTTTAACGATCGAAGTCAAGCTACATATTGAATAAAATGAACGTGGTATATCTATAAATGTCTATACGTATGTGTCACGTGATTTGCGACTACCAATTAACACCCCCAAAAGCTGACAGCGTTACATGACTACCGGCCTTCACGGAGAGGTTTTGATCGGAACGATGCGCACCTGATGTAATGTTACAGCGCCCTCCAGTCCATCCAGTTTTGCACATACATACACCATCAATACTGCGGCACTCATTGGTATTTTCATACACGCATGCGCAGATTTTAAGGCAATCATCACCATAGAAACCGTGTTCACATGCTAAATAGACACAGAGAAGAAGAAGATTCTAAGGTATGAAAGATGTGAAGGAACAATAGCACTTGGCGAAGACCACAGTAGAGAGCAAAGGGTGGTAACTGAGCTACAAAGATTGAATTTTAATACAGTCGGACGTTTAAACAGTACAAGAAATTACATCTGAGTAACTTATTGTCAGCTAATCAACTAGAACCCCCAGACAATCAAGTAATGACAGGTTTATGTTATTGAGCGGCAAGCTACGCCATGCACCGCTGGTAAAACAGAATAAAAATGATTTCCTATACTGACTTGTGCAATGAATGCATTGCTGTAGTATATTCTAGGTATATGGCACTCATTTTTAAAATCAAACATGCTTTCAATAATAAATAGCAGTTGATCTGAGATTCAAGTTTGAGAAAGATCCGCCTTTAAATCATTCTCGATTTATCGTGGTCACAGTGTACTGTATATTTCACATATTGGTATGTTGACAACAACAACAGCGACGACACCGGACAACAACAGACACCTTCAGTTTCTATCCCAAGGTTATGGTTTAAAGTGCATGATATTTGTACCAGAACCAGTTTTTTTGTCGATGTGTGCTTTTCACCTGTTCGCGTTTTCCACAGCATTGTATTTGCAACAAGAACAATTAAATAAGAATAGTGGTTAGCGAAGTGGTGATGGTTCTGTGCTTGTGATTAACCTCGTAACATCCTTTCTAGTATCAAATGACATTGATTAGGAGTTGCTCGACCCCCGTGTGGGTATCAATTACGCCGAAATACAGTATTTTTTAGTTAGTCTAATGTTTTAATATATGATATATGTATTATTATATGATGACGTTCATTCATTATCTTTGCTGTATTTTATAAACAACTTTACCGGGGCGCTGCACCGCGCAAGAGAAAATTAGAAACCAGCAAACTTACTTTCATTGCATGTGATGCCCGTCCAGCCAGGTTTGCATAAACATTCCCTATTACATGCATATGTATTATTTGACACACATTTCTCGTCACATGGCGGCATACAGTCCGGGCAATCTGTGGGAACATCTGACAGACAGAACAAATACATGCAAGTCAGAGCATTAAAATAAAACAGAGTTTGATGACCTCAACAACAACAACAACAGCAGCCGTGTACGCAGTTGGTTCACGGCCTGCGTTGTTATCGTACCACGCATGTCCACAGTTTAGGGCAACAAGCGACTATATATAGTGAACAAAATGGCGTTGTTTGTGACGTAATCGGAAAAAGTTGCCATGTGATATTTAGACCCGCCAATGATATACTAGCGAAGCGGAGTGTTTTATTAAAACATACGCACTTTCATTACACGTAATACCAGTCCATCCACCCCGACAGTTACAAATACCGACACTTCTGTCACAATTCACAGTATTTGCTGAGACACAGTCATCACAGGGACTTGCTGAAATAAACAATATGTAATTTTGATCAAAAACACCACCTATCCGATCTCCAAGTGGGTAAACATGTTTGGCCGTTCGCTGGAAATTACATAATATTAGTCCTATGTAGTCCATACAAATAATTCTAAGGTTTGTGTAGGTCAATGATTCTGGTGACAGAACTACGTAATGCCTGAGTAGAATGTCGTGCATACAATTATTTAGACACATATGACAGTCATCCGAGTTTTCTGCCGCTGATTGATGTTGACCTACTAAATCCTGTAGTAACTCCCATTCAATTATTCCTGTATGAAGGATCAACTATTGAAACCAAGGCGGCTCACAACATTTACAACAAAAATGATGAATAAATATATATAGATTTCACTAGATGAAAATTGAAGTTAGAATGAATGTAAATAATTAAAATGAAGGTTACAGTTAAGACAAATGTGAAGTTCAAGTTGAAAAATCAAATCAATATGAGAATACAAATACTAAAGTTAAAGTGAATTTTAAAATAAAAGTTAATAACATTTTAAAATTACACTGAAAATAATTGTTAAAACAAATTAAAATTTCAAATGTAATTACAAATAAGGTTTAACTATTTTAAAATTAAAATAAACTTTAAAACCAATTGAAAATAAAATTTAGAATTAAACGAACTTTACTAACGAAATTTACAAGAGAATTCTGTACATTTCCATAATTGCTTGTGAGTATTGTAAGACGCCTCGGTTGCTGTACTCTACTCACCAGGACAAAGCGATAACGAACTGATGGTGTCGTGGTTGATGCTGTCTTATAAGCAACTACGTCAACGGTTCTAGGGAAGAAGATTAGATACCAAATACATAAGTACCGGATAATAAAAATAAACGCGTATATTATATAAAAATACGTATGTACTACCTCTGCCCCAGACTAGAGTGATTAAAATACTGATATTATATTAAAGCGGGGAAGTTGTCACCTGCGCATGCGTCAGATGGCAATAGCGTGTCGCTGTTTACAAACACGCGTCTAGCCATGAGCCTTTGCGTGTTTAGCGTGCGTTGTTGTCGTCACTTGGGACTCCCGCGCGTGCGCAGGTGACGACCCTTCCGCTTTAAGTAACAACCAACTTACGGATAACTGACTTACGATTATCCACGTGCAGTCTTTGCTGCACACCTTGACCGTTGAATTCACCACTCAAAAGTGTTTAAATTAACCGAGACAGACGGAAGCGAATGAACAGTATGTCATTTACCTGTACATGGTGCACTTCAAGTCCCATGACCAGCACCGTGTGTAATATACAACTTGTTGCTGCGTCATGTAGGTTGTTGTGTAGTATGACCTCACGCTGTGTACAAAAAATAATACGATATAATATTACGAGTTGTATCCTATATGCAACTTACAACTCGTTTGTATCGTCATCATACCACCAATCGGGTTGAATGTGTGTCGGTATTCTGCACACTGCTTTAGACGGGCGTTGTCGGTAATACGCGTATTGTATCGCAACAATTGCAACTGTGAGACATTGTTATTGTGTAATGTTGTTGTTAAACATACACATATATAGAACTAACATGCAACACCACAGTGAGCCCAATAACTACCGGGTGAGGGTATCGACTGATATCTCGTGGTTAAGGCGATCTCTTTTCTCCCTCCATGGCGATTCAACATACACTAGATACCAGCCGATAACACCCCCCATTACAAGTTTACCATCCCATGTGAGGTCCAGCTCAGAGGTCCGAGTAACAAGTGGTAAATTACACGAGTGGTCGAACGACAAAAGTCTGACAGTCACGTCACGCCCACTTCATTCCGGAAACAATCATGGCGTATGAAAGTACATGCAAGAATGTGAAACTCACTAATCTAAATCTATGACACTTTGCAATAAAGTTACAACAATGACACATAAATATCTTTCATTGACAAGATGTATACAAGGGTTTAAAATATTAATATTTCATATCTATTGAAATATTTGTATGTATGTTATTGAACTCTGATTGTTTTAATTTATTACTCGCCCTCATTGTTTTTATAAATGGAATAACTTAAATGAGGTTTTGATTAAATAAAATATAAGAAAAAATTGTCTTTTCTTTTGTACCCTCTCACACCACCAAAAATCACGGATTCCCTTGCTCCTATGGCTCGTTAAGTATCAATAGTTTATTTCACTTAGTATTCATGTTATAGATTTACAACTCTCGACTTCAAGCGAATTTTAATCCGTGTTTGCACATCGTGAATTACTTTCATTACTATGAAAATAACACCTCAAGGGTGGAAACTGGCGTAGACTATTCCCAAAAGGTCGCCTTGACAGCTGCCGGACACTTTTAATGATATGCTGAAATAAACAGGAAGTTCCCGCAGAAGACGAGGAAGTCTAATCAAATTTCACATTAATACAAATAGTTTTTTTGGTATGGGTTTTTCCTATCAACATTTCATTTAAGTTATTCCAACTCTCTGTGATGATAATTCTGTGATTCTTCAAATACAAAATGCTTCGCGTGAGTGAACTCTCTGTGGCGGTGTGACGTCAACACATCGCCCATTTATAACAACAGAATAGAACACAATAGTGAAATGAAGACACTGAAAAAGACACTAACCTGACTGCGTACGATTCGGTGCAGCGTCCCTGGTCGCCCCGAGCTGCAGTCGTGTGAACGTATAAGTTGCATGTCAAAAAGAATATTATTTGGAAGAGAATATTTGGTATCACCATTGTGCCAAACAGCTGTCCTGTAACTCAAGGCGAAGTTTAAACATTCGACAAAGTCCTATCGTGAATTGTATGTCAGTGAGGTGACCTCGGATAATTCCATGGCCAAATAGTTTAGGGTTAGCGTTCCGTCAACATGAACTAAGTTCTGACACATCTCGTTACTATTAAAATCCGGCTGCTACCATGGTGATTGACCATGCGTAGTCTGACGTAATATGGAATGGGTAAATAAAGAGAGGAACAAAGCTGGTTCCTTGTTACAGGCTCACGACAGCATTCAGTGACTGGCACGAACAACGGGTGTGCTTAGCGCATGCGTAGTGTATTGAAATCTGACACCGCAATAGCAAAAGGCACATACTGAACAATACACTTAGTGTTTCCTCTGTCGTAATTTGCAAAGTCTAGATTGACTTAGGCGACATCGTTCGGGTTAGGGTGAAGGAACAATGTCACTTGGATAACTTTGATTATTTTGTGCATGTTTAAATAATTTTATTTGCAAATGCATCGTGATAAACACAACGTGATATGATTTATTATAAAATAAACACGTCATCTTGACAGTAACCATGACAAATTTCGTTCACTATATGATGAGTGCGGTTCTAATTACCTGTACCTGTAACCGCATGCGTATTTATATTGTGTATTACTTCATCGAACACATACTGCTATGTTTGCTCTCATACTTCTATATATAGTCTGAAGTTTTCTGCTAAAACACTTTATATTATGTTACGATAAATTATGCTCTGTTGTTTCTTTCGCGATAAAATATCAAATAAAATCAATTGTCAGTTATCTGCGTTTTAGCCCTCTTTAAAAAGAAGATTGTTAATTGCCACTGGATTGTAGAACGCACATACGCATGACAAACATTCGAACCACATTTACGGCATTTTAAAGAACGCACCCCGACTACACAAGCTCATTTCGTCATGCCGCACCCCTTGGGTCTCAAGGACGTCATATCAAACTCGGTTAGATGGTAACGCATTTGAATAAATGACGTCATAGTTGTTTATTTGGGTAAGCCATTGAATTACTGATTTAATTAGTGTGCAAGTTTATTTTTTTAGGCAAGTTACCCGTCCCATTTGCCAATCAACTGATGGGTTAAAATCAGTGAATTAGCGAAACAAGTCACATCCTCTTGAAGGATTGTTATTAAGAATTGCGATAAGTATTCTGTTTGGAAAAGTTCGGGGTTATAATAAAAAACAAACAAAATTATGGTGTAAATAAAACTACATATTTGGCAATGTTTTGTCTAGGGCCCACATAACAGATTTCCAGACACCCAGATGTCGTCACAGTTGGAATTTTAGTTATTTAACAGTTGTGCTGTATTCAATGTTTTGCGATTCGGTCAAGAATATCACATTGGAGTGGATCATGTTGCACTTTCTTGTATATCAGACACCATCGTCCGATTCGCGCGGTTTCGTAAGCTCGTTATTAATATACAAACGCGTGTGGGATTCTACCGAGAAGTCGCGTATTTTATCTCGGTATAGATCTGATCCGGAGATCTAATTGGACGCGTTCCTAAAGCAAGCGCCCAATCAGAGTTGTCGTAACATGTAACAACTGATCATAAACAAAATGTCGCGTTACGTTGCCGTTCGCGAAGAATCGCCGGTGCTTTTTTTTGTGTTGGTGGACTTTCCACAGTTCCCGGTACAAAAACTACAGTTGGTCGAACTGTTTATGTAGACTACCACTTGATCCACATTTGGTATTCACGCCCAGAGCCTCTGCCTCAAGCATGGGTCGGTCTGTGCGACTGGAAATATTGAAATCATTCAAGTTGTTTTAATTCCTAAAGTCTTATCAGCTCACAGTTTTTACCTCTAAGACATACCGTAAATACAGGTGCTATGTGTTTTTAAGCGTGTGACGGTTGAAAATATATGTTCATATTATATTGATCATTGCATCATGCACAATATTATAGTCGTATTTCATAGCTGTGTCTTTTAATAGTGTAGTATAGCGAAAATGGGGTAACAAATTCATAAAATGAATTGATCTAATTAGTTGAATTTTAACCCTCAAGTAACAGATTGTAAAATGTCAGCTCAATATCTGCCTGGGAAGAATATCGTCTACTGTACAATTTTGTTAGTGTTAGCTATAACGAGCAATTTTATTGGACAATGCATGGAAGAAAATAGTTCTAGTATTGCCAGAGAGGGCGCACTTAAATATCTGCCAACGAACCTAGCTAGCGATGATAGGTTTCCGATGTTTACCCACTATCATCTCCTGTCAACGGGCTTAGCCCGTTTACAGGTTCAGAAATAATTTAAGACCAACATAAACCGTTATTCTTTGCGACAATAACAACTAGAACTATTACATTTGAGAGGAAGCATTGAGAATATTTTAAGAACATGGATCAGACAACTTTTACGCCTCGTCTAAAGAGACGGGATTCTCTCTAATACTAATGCCTCCAACTCGGGCTGAATGTACTCTTTTTCAGTCTACCGTGACGGTATGTTGAACGTACACACTAACCAAAATGCCACGCATATCTAGACTCATACCCCCTTTCTAGACGACAACCATTTTGTTTTTAACATCTACATCATCAAATACTGGTGTCGGGTGGGGGCGGGTATGTTGTATGTACTTGAAACGTTTTCCATTTCAGGCATATTCAATGGGTTTTAAATTCACGGTTTTATCATTTAGATAATGTGTTCTGTGCTAAATTTTACATATTCACTGGGTTTTAATTTAGCGCATTTTTCATTCAGCGAAATAAACAAACTTAAAACCCAGTGAATAATTAACCCTTTTATAGTATTGCAATAATTAACTTTGAATACACTGTATTTTTACTCTGGGTAGATGTAAGGGGGTTATTTCGAAATAATGGTTTACGTCAACGTTAACTTTATTTAATTTATAAAAGACAATAAAAATAAATCTTAAACTCTATTAGTTGTTTGAATTATACAATTTTATTCTTTGCTGGTCAAATGCAAGAATTAGACAGACGTACATGTTTTGATCTTCCACATTGACATTCTTCTCGCGCGTCAATTTAAAATAGTATTTACGCTATGGGTGTTGTACTGCTATGAAGGCAATGAGGTATTGAACACTGAAAAGCTCGATCATTTTAGATGTTGACTGTCATTTTATTTCGATTGTACTGGAACAATCCGATGAATTGTATGAATAAAGCCAATAAATTTTGAATGGTCAGTGACTAGCCACACCCGAACAACGCCGATCCGATGCATTATGCGACATGTTAATCCAACCATTAAGACTCCTTTCCACGTTCTTTCATGACTTGTATCGTCAATACTGGTTCACGTTGGACTCGCAATCATTGTCTCTGTCCTTGGGATTAATAACTGCAAAGTTTGATGGTCGACCTGAAATTTGAGACATGGGTTTCCGCACGTACTTTACGTGTTGCGTTATGGTGATTGTTAGCGTGGGTGAGTATACACAGTGGAATCAGCGGTTCAAGTGTATGACACAAACTGCTCGGGCATTAGATTGAGCCGATCAATTTCAAGCTCATTTATGTCCTGAACTATATGTATTTTAGCTCATTATACAATGCATCAGAGGTCAACTCTCTATACTGGTAATATCGAAACGTGTTATACCCACGCCTGATGTGAAGTCTAGAATTTAGTATTCACATTACGTATTGGATTCAACATTACGTATTACTCGATCGTATTGTGCTGTGTCTAAGTGTACACCGTGTTATGGTTACTCCAATTTCATACCACTCATCCTGAATGCCAACTTTTGATATTCATTTCGAAATTTCGTTATTAAGCGCTAAACGTTGACGCCGCGTATTGACCTATCGCTGGTATATTATACACAGAATAACATTGCTAAGTAGTCCTAATGTGACGTCCACATATATTATCTAAAAGCTCAATCTGTTGTATTTAAAATTTGTTAACGCACTACGATAAATACCAAGAACGGGCACACCTTTTATCTACTAGTAAGTTGTTGTTTTTTCGCACCACTTCAGATACTTGGCTACCATCAAAACATTTCATTTTTGCAACATAGTTTTAATTTATACTGTTGTGCCAAAGTGATATTTATTAATATTATTTGGCGAAATAATGATATAACATAAACTCTCATAGAAGAATTACTCAAAATAGTTGGTGAAAAGTGCCTAAATCAATAACGATGTGAACCTTTCGAAAAGAAAAAAAAAATGTTATTTCGACCCTACGTATCAGGTCGAATACCTGTTTACTCCATTTAAAATTATACAGAAGTATTAATTTAAACGGACTTGTTCAATTATTTCATAATGCCAATTTACATATAAGAGAAAATTAAAGAAAGAGAGAAAATTGATTGCCCATCCGTTCTGGTATTCATGTGTTTAGCTTGAAGTACACTGGCAGTCCCCGCTCACGCGGCACCTCGAAACAGAACTAACTTAGCGAAAGACAAAGTTAACTGGTTGTTAGAGATGCAGTTTACCTGACAGGTATATATTTTAATTAGTTAATTAGGAAACCAAGATAACCTCCCTTGTTCACAAAACTATATATTTTCGGAAAGATTATTGTATGAATTTTAAAATGTTGTTAATATTTATTTTATGGGCACTGTAGTTTGAAATATGCACAAAAATGTGCTTTTTTGGTCAAAATCGATTTAAAAAAAATATCTTCTAAACCATGCTTTTATTTCCTGTCAAAATTGGTTTATGGGTATATCTGTTTACTATGAAGAAAGCGCCGTCTTGAAATCTGTCTACCAATTGTCAATTTTGTAGGGCGGCAGCTCAAATTTCACTACTTCAAATTTATGCTTAAATTAACACCCAGGCTAGTTGTCTGTACGATTGTTGTAACACTGTTCAACCAAAAACAATGTCCCGACGGCGTTTTGAAGATAAACACATTGTCAACTGAATCATTTGTGAAAATTTCAAAACAAAAGGTCAAAGCGTCTAGGAGCTATTTTTTTTAAGTTCTGGGATGTGCACTAAAAAGAAGCTGATATAATTGCTAATTTGCATAACAGTTCACTCAGTAAGAAGTTTGCTAATGCTCATAATTAAAATGCTTGCTTGTATTGTAACCGGACTACGTTCCGCGGGTTATTCTGGCCATCGTAGGGAGTGGGTCTCAACGATGAGAACGTACTCTGGTTACCAGACCAAGTATGTTTATATATATAAAAAAAAACAAAAAACGCTGGCACACATCAAAGTCCCTCCTATTCTCGCTTCTGTTATCATAGTCCATATGAAGGTGAATTCCTCCAAACAAAGTGTATTCAGCTTATTGTCCCGGAGTAAGAATGCAAAGCGAAGGAAATATATTATGCCTATTGTCCGCCCGTGTAGTTTGGCCCATTCATAAAAAATAGGGAAACAACAACGTTGTTACCCGAATTCCGCTATTGTGACATGTCGACATTCCATTTGATTTAGATATGCAAAGGATAGTGAACGGCTCTACCGTGGTTACCAGTACAGGTATGGTTGATTCTCTTCTCTTTTTTTTCATATAAATTAACTCACATATCTCATACCTTAAAATATCAGTCAAAATACAGTTTCTGTGTATCCGCGTATGTTGGTCTCTCATATGAACATGTATATATGCAGGTTAAATCAGCGTAACAGTCATTCACGTGGTGGTTATGGCATGTGAACCACGAGCACACATTTTGGGAGGTTTCAGCAAATCCATCCATTTCATTGCAGCTGTACTGTATTTGGGAGTATTCACTTTTGTTAGCATGTTTGAAGTATAAAATATATTTGTTTGTTTTTAATTAGTATTCAATGAATAATTGAGAGTTCATAACAAATGCTTTATTTATCGGAGAAATGTTTGAAAGGGTGGGGATCGTTATTCCGAGTACATTATTTCCCAGTCGTATGTGATCATGATACAAATAAATTCATTCATTTACATGAGAGTTTGTGGGTTGCAGAAAGATTGTATAAAAGGTCAGAAGTATCGGACAGGGGGTCATTCCAAGACAAGTTTAATTAAAATACACGTTTTCTTTTTGTTTTCTTGGCTATAAAAAAAAATCATAATACAAAGTAAACATACGAGTGGAATGGGTAGAAAGGTAGAATTATGATGGTCGTTTTTTTTCTAGTTCTACTGAAAACCTGATCCTAATATCTTATACCTGTTATTTCTACTACAATTAGGGTTATTTGGGTATTAAATTACAAGAAATGTGTTTATTGGTCTTATCAAAAAATAATACGCAGTATAAATTTATTACCAATATTTTTTATATGAACTAGCTGATCATCGAGAGAGAACCCTATATTCACTATACAATTGTATCATCTTTATAATGTCATGTACAACAATTCAGTTTTGATTACCAAGGGCAAATCTTTATTCAACATTTTGACAAATAAATTAATAATTTTGAATAGCCTAATAAGAATGAAAAAAAAATATATCCAGTATATTTAATACTCTATATGTCAAAATTTAAAACAGAACATCTTGAAAGCATATGATTGTGATAGCCACACTCGCAACGTAACAAAAAAAAACTCTTAATATATTAGGATATTTCTATTTATATATTTACATATATGCAACTCGAACCAGAAGTCTGCTCATAAAAACAATACCTAAAATACATTTTGGAATGACCCCCCCCGCGCCAACATGGTCACCGACCAATTTTTTGCGAAAATGATTGTTAAATTTTAGTGAAATGTGTCAAAATTAGTCCTTTTTTTACAATTGTTTGATATATGGTGGAGATATCTTAAATAGTAGGTTTGTGACAGAGTAAACAGGAGCGGGCTTTAAAAAGTGATTACAATTACTATTTTGCGTTGACATTTGTCTGAAAATAGCAACTTTTTAATGATATATCTTACCGAAGGTAGGTCATACCATCGTGTGACAACATTATGAAAAATTGTTAAGTGTTAACTACGGTAACATGAAAGAGCATTATATATTATAGTGGTCTAGTACTGAAATTTTAACAGTGTATAAATTCAAGACTTTCGACATATAAAAAAATGCAAACAATATATTTAGTGCCAACAAACTTGTATCTATAATATTGTTATTAATCCTCATTACTGTTTTGTAAAATGTTTTTAATAAAATTAAATTAAATGCAGATTCTAGCGGCAATTTTACATACGAATTATACTTGTCATTATATTTATGTACAGCCATGCTCTGAGCCTTGCATCTATACCTTATTAACTAAATGTTATTCCTCGTGATAAAGGTACATAAATACATTAAATTAATATACAATGTATATTATTCTGTGTGTTGTCGCAGGGGTCTCTACTGAATACACAACAAGACGGCCAACGACTGAAGACGTCTCAACTGCCCCAACAACTAATTGGTCATCCGCGAAAGATTTGTCAACAGCGACAACTGGTAAGATTAATTACGCGACTAATGCACTGTTTGACACATTGCTATAAGTAAGTGTATAACATATACTATCAACAATTTTCGTAGATAAGATTCAATATAATGTGGAAGTTTCCCAGAACAAAGCAAAAACCGAGGAGTTATTGAGGGGCCCATGCCTGGTTGGCCAGACTGTCATTATTATTGTCCGTTTTTTTCCATCTGAGAGAATGGCTAATATATTCAAAATACGTTAATAAATGGAACCAACTACATTTTGACCTCTTAGTACTGATGATTTAAACTACTGTAATGGCAATCACATGATCTCATTAATTATGAAATTGATGCCTGAAAGTGTTTTAATTAACATTGAACTTTTGTGGCCAACTACAAAACACAAGTAAAAATAATGTCTAATTTGCATAATCAATCAACGAGTGTAAATTTTACAGACACCTATAATAAAGCCGTCATAGCTCTCACATACACAGACCAATTAATGTTTTTGAAAATGTTATTAACAGTAAATCTGTTAGTAAGTCTGACTATATATTAATCTGTCTGTTGTTGCAGGGGTCACTACTGAATACACAACAAGCCAGTCAACGACCAAAGACGTGTCCACTTCGCCAACAGAATGGACGACCGCGAAAGACTTGTCGACAGCCACAACTTGTAAGATCAATTACGTGACGAACACCCTGTTTGACACAAAAATGCGTTATCATTAATCCCAGACGTTCTTCCATCCATCATAGTTTGAAAGATTCACGGAACAAAGTAAAATGCTGCGAACTATTTATTTAACTTTGAACTTTCCTGACCAACCAAGTTGGAAGAATAATTAATTTGCATAATCATTGGCCAGTGCAAACGTATACTAAAGCGGCCATAACACTAACACCAACAAATAGATTACTGTTTTGTAAACTGTTGTTAATAGTAAATTAAATGGGAATTCTAGCAGCAATTTTGCATACGAATTATAATTTTCATTATGTATGTACAGCCGTGCCCTGGGCCTTGCATCTATACCTTAGCTACTGTTATTATTCCTGGTGATAAAGGTAAATAAATATATTAAATTAATATCTATTATTCTGTGTGTTGTCGCAGGGGTCACTACTGAATACACAACAAGACGGTCAACGACTGAAGACGTTTCAACTGTCCCAACTAGTTGGTCATCCGCGAAAGACTTGTCAACAGCTAAAACTGGTAAGATTTGTTGCGTGGCTAACACCTTGTTCGACACATTGCTATAAGTGTACAAAATATATTATCAACAATTTTCTAAGATAAGATTCAACATAGGGTGGAAGTTTCACAGAACAAAGCAACAACCGAGGAGTAATTTAGGGGTCCACGCCCCGTGGGTTAGACTGCCATTATTACTGTCCGTTTATTTCCATCTGAGTGAATGGCTAGAGCAAGAAATCTGAAAATGTGCATGCTAATGCGTACCGTTGTAAGTAATTTTCAAAATGGCGGTCAGTTACTTGAATTGGTTTAGAAGATACCAAAACACGTGCCTAATTTCAGTTTATTTTGTCCGGAAGGTCTCGAGAAGAAGTCGATTAAAGGGTCCATTTATGGTGCGATGTGGGTATTTGTTTTTTTAGAATTATAGCTACATTTCTCAATCTTGGTGAGCGAACTGAGGCTTGTCTGACCTAGCTTCTTACAAAAAAGCGGTTTGGCGGCCATCTTTGAATTCCGGCAAAAAATACTAACATTTTGTCATTTGTTTCTCATGTTTGTTGCTTGTATAGTCAAAGTTGTTTTATGAGAAAAATAAATTAATATTGATTTGTCACATGGTTTGTTCGCCATCTCTGATTTTATAAAAAGCGGAAGTTGTACAATTACGTGTGTAGTATTAGACTAATTGATTTGAAATTGTGCATGTTCATTCCCCCCATGGTGATGTATCCTTTCTTCCAAATATCACGTGGTTCGGCGACACCATTAAGATGCACAACTATAATATCTGCAAAAACCATGGGTGCTATTAATTTTGAAAGCATTGAACACGAGATATGACTAAAATAACAGATGACAATATATGGTTATATAAAATTATTAATGTACATAACTGTCATATCTTAAATACTCTTGCAGCCTGGAACATGCAACCTTTATAATGACGGCACCG